AGAGCTCGTTTTATCTTGGGGAAAGGTTTTCGCCAGTCGGAAATACTTTCTTGAGGAAAGCGTTTACGCGACTCGAACTATTTTATTTTTCTAACGTTTTTTTGCAGGTATATCCGGTGAATTACATCAACAATTGCTACTTCCAACAGTCACCGAATTAATGTTGTACGGATAGAGGTTGTCACAGAACAATCCGTGACAAAATCCGTGACTTAGTGTTTTATATATGCAAGATAAGTTTTATTCGACTCATACCAGTTGAAATTCAATCAGAGTATAATACATTATCTGTTGCAAGATTGAACGATGTAATCTTATGTCATTTTCCCTGCCTATGCAGATAAGGTATGTCATTTGAATTATGTATTTTTTTTAATGTAAAATATGAATTTTTTTCGTTTTAAAAAAATAAAATGGTTAGTGAGGATGTTAATAATTAACAATATATTTAACTTCAAATTTTAGTGATGTTATAATATTGTGCATATATTTAAAATTCGTTTGGAAATGTATATTAATTTTTCAATTATTGGTAATACCGTTAATTTAGGATTTCAATTGATAATACTAGTTAAATTTAAATATGAGTTATTTCAAATGGGTTTATAAAAATATTAGGTTTGTTTATGCCTTTTAGTCAAAAACCTTTTAGAGTTTTAAGTAATAATAATAGTAATTCAATTAAAATGCCTTTCACATTTTTAGTTAATTAAAATATTTGTTTGAAATTCGTTTAGAAATATATTCTAAATTTTAGCAATTATTGTTAATGCCTTTAATTTAGGATTTATAATGATTTAAGTTAGGATTTAAACATTACTTTAGTGTGAATTTTTAGGTGATCAATTAATTATTATTGTGAATTATTTGAATTTCATTTAATTTAAATGTTAGTTAATTTATTGTGTATTATTAGATTTTCAAAATCTTAGTATTGTGAATTAATGCCGGTAAGCGTAATGATTTAGTGTATTTCGTGTTAAAAATCTTAGTATTGTGAATTAATGCCATTAACGTATACAATTAGATTTTAATGTGTTTAGTGTTAAAAATTTTAGTATTGTGAATTATTATGATTTAAAAGTTAGTTATGATGTTTGATTAATGCCATCATGGGCGGACCGTAGTAGAGACCCAGGGGGGCTACCCCCCCCCCCCCCCCCCCAACAAATTTTTTTTAGTGTATATATATACGAAAAATGATTTTTGCTCTTCCAAAGAGTATTTTGAACCCCCCCAAAAATATTTTCGCCCCCCAAAATGACTTTCCTGGGTCCGCCCCTGAATGCCATCAACGTATTGATTTTAGTTAATTAATAATATTAATTGAACGTTAGTTAAATTTAGTAAACTTTAATGAAATTTAATATATTAATGTTCCTACATATTAATTAGTGAAATATATTAAACATAACTAATTATTGTTAATGTTTATAATTTATAGTTTTTAACCAATATAATATTTTGATTATAATGTTTATGCATAATGTATACACAAAATAGAAGTTGATGTATGATAAACATGACGAAAAGAGAGGAACGTGAGACGAATTTCTTAATGGAATTCAAGAGTTTATTAAATTTGAACTTGAACAAAAGAATTATATGGATGATGATAAAATCATATGTCCATGTACAAAGTGTAAAAATCTCAAATTTAAAGACAACAATGAAGTTGTGTGGCATTTGTACGACAAAGGTTTTGTTGACAATTGTTATAATTGGACGTCTCATGACGAACCTTTCGATCCATCACTTTTACCGCAAACAGTAGGTTCGTCTCGTAACGTCCCTATCGAGATGAGTGGGTGGGGAGACTATGATCAAATGATGTTAGATCAAAGAATGCTATATGATGTATACGGTGCCTCAACGTCTCCGTTTAACCCCCCACAACCATTTAACAATCATCCTGAAGCCTCGACCTCGTATAAAGCAGATGCGGATGAAGATTTGATCTTTTATCAACCTGATGCGGATGAAGATCTGAACTCTCATATTCCTCATACTGAAGGTTTAGTAGAGAGATTTCAGGATGTTTTAAAAGCTGCCAATCAACCTCTTTATGCTGATTGTGAGGGATACTCTCAGCTATCTGCCATTTCAGAGTTGATGAACATTAAAGCTGAATACAGACTCCCTGAAACTTGTATTTCTAGGCTGTTGCAGTCAAAAGGAGGAATGCTACCGCGTGACCATAATCTTCCTCATCCATATTACAACATGAAGCAATTAATATCTCAGTTGGGACTTCCTTGTATAGAAATTGATGTGTGCCCTTTAGGATGTACGTTGTTCTGGAAGGATGATGAGACACATGAAAGCTGTAAGATCGGTGGTCGAGACAAATACGAACTTGTTCCCCAAAGACAAAAAAACCACGAAAAAGGTCTGCATTTTCTAAATTGTTTTACTTCCACTAGCTCCACGACTGAAGATGATATATGCTTCAAATGCTACTGCGAAACAAATGAGATGACATGTTGAGCACGAAACTAAAGATGGTTTGATGTCTCACCCTTCAGACGGTGAAGCTCGGAGACACTTTGACCGTTGTCATCATCAGTTTGCAATGGAGCCACAGAATGTGCGACTGGGATTGTGTTCAGACGGATTTGCTCCTTTTGGAAAGTTTGGGAGCAAATTTTCATGTTGGCCAATCAAGTTAACTCCTTACAATCTCCCTCCTGACATGTGCATGAAAACTCATTTCATCTTTTTGACTTTAGTTTGTCCAGATCCCAAGGATCCTAAAAAAACATAGACATTTATCTTCAACCTCTCATCGATGAGATGAAAGAACTTTGGGCCATTGGGACATCAACTTATGATGTTTTTCGAGATGAAATGTTTATCATGAAAGCTGCCTTCATGTGGACCTTTAACGGCTTCCTTGTCTATGGTATGCTTTCGGGATGGAGCAAACACGGTCTTCTGGGTTGTCCAATATGTATGGAAAAATCAGGTGCCAATTAGCTCAAGTTCAGTGGAAAACCAAGTTACTTTGATTGTCACCACAAGTTTCTCTTGGCAAACCATCGATATCGAAGGGACAAAAAGTCTTTCATTAACGATATAGTGGTACGAGACACCCACCCTCGAGACTTACAGGCGAACAAATTTATAACCGGGTTCGACGTATTCTTACGACTGTGCAAGAGCCACACACGGATCCAAATGGGTATTGTGATACCCATAAGTGGACAAAGAGGAGTGTAATTTGGGAGTTGCCATATTGGAAACACCTTCTCATTCGTCACAATTTAGATGTCATGCACAATGAGAAGAACGTCTATGACGATATATTTAACACGGTGATGGATTTGAAAGACAAAACTAAAGATGAGCTTGCATCTAGAAAAGACATGACAATGTGGTGTGATAGACCCGAACTTGCTGTTGATCTAGAACATGAGGGTAAAAGTCCAAAAGCAGTCTACCATCTCACATATGCACAAAAGAAAGAAATATTAGAGTGGCTTGTGCCTCTAAAGTTTCCAGATGTGTATTGCTCTAACATGTCCAGATGCGTGGACATGAAAAACCTAACCATGACGTTGAACATGAAAAGTCATGATGATCATGTAATCATGCAAAAACTTCTGCCGATTGCACTGGGAGACATGCTTCCTCCAGACGTATGGGGCTGTATAACTGAAATCAGTTTATTGTTTCAGTCGATAGGTTCCACCGTTTTGGATGTTGAATCCCTCCAGAGACTAGAAGACTTTGTTCCCATTCTGATGTGTAACTTGGAAAAAATACCGCCTCCATCCTTTTTCGATGTAATGAAACATCTTATAATACATCTTCTATATGAGGCTCTGAATGGAGGTCTCGTCTTCTATCGTTGGATGTACAAATTTGAAAGGTTAGTCACAATTTCATTGATATTTCAAGATTTATTTAATAAGAACATTTGTTTGTTTACAAATTTTATTTTGCATGAGAGATTTCTGAGAGAGTTGAAAAAGAAAGTGACCAACAAGGCACACATTGAGGCTTCAATTTGTCAAACATATATCGAATAATAAATCTCAACGTTTTCATCTTTTTATTTTGAGCGTGATGTCATCACAAAAGAAAGAGACCTGCCCGGAACGATGACATTGGCGAGGATTCATATGACAAAGTAGTTTCTATTTTCAATTACCCAGGTAGAGGTAAAGGAGTTGCGACTTACCATTACATCGTGGGTGGAGAATATACAATTGCACAAACTTACATCCTCATGAATTGTCTAGAAATCTTACCATTTTATAAGTAAGTTAAATTGGTACTTATATTTGTAATATAGTTAGAAATATGAGCAAGAGTGTTATAATTTTTTTGTATGATTTCACAGTGAACTTAGAGCATCTTTATCAACATTTCCCGATGATGCAGTTTTTGGGAAGAAAAACATATGAGTTCTATTTTGGAATTCCAAATCTCATTTGCTCCTATTTTGGGCAATATCCCATATTACAATGGTTGTCACAGACTTATCCGTGACAAAGTTTGTCACGGATAAATTTGAACCGGCAGACTTCTCCGGTGAACCGATTGTCACAGACGCCGGCTGCGACAAATCCGTGACAAAACTTTATCATGGATCCCGTTCCGTGACAAACTTTTGTCACGTCCAAATGGTCATGGAAAAAAGCCGTGACAAAATCTGTAACAATCTCACTATTTTTTTATGTAGTGAGACCTAACAATGTAAGTGACATTACACTGAAATGAAATTTTAGAGTGACGCGAAATTTTGACAATATCATTTCAAATGTATGACCTCCCTATAGTCATATAAAACCACCAAGAAGTAATGTCGACACTTGCCTCAAATCAGATCTCACATTTAAGGTACATTAAACATATGATGTACACGTATAAAACTTTATAATAAGAGAAATCAATAATTAAATTTGAGAGAACTATCAAATAAGTGTTCGAACTTTCATAAAAAATGTAAAGAAACCCTTTTACAGGAGACTTTATAGGCTGTCGTCATTTGGGACGGTTTATGATGATATTTTTTGATGAATTTTTTGAGCCCTTTTCATTAAATTTAAAAGAAGTTAGGTGTGGAGCACAGGCATAACACAAACACAATACGCCGCCGTACCAACGGCACGAGATAGTTCATGCATTTATGGAGAGGAACCGAGTCAGCTGGCAACGTGGGATCTACGTGTAAGCCAATCCAATAACTGACACGTAGACCACCCCCTCCATCCCTCCTATATTATTACCCCATATGGCGTCCTTGTTAGGTGCATCCATCCATCAATCAATCCCCAGGCATCCACTTGTTGTTCTTTAAAACTCCTCTAAGATTGTTTAGGTTCAGAAAGATCAGCAGAAAGAAGAAGAAAGCTAAAGAGATGAAGGAAAATACTGGGAACCCTTTGGCCTTGACATCTCTCAATCACATCTCTCTCATCTGCAAATCTGTGGAGCAATCGATCGACTTCTACCAGAACATCCTGGGTTTTGTCCCTGTTCGAAGGCCTGGTTCTTTCAACTTCGATGGGGCCTGGTCTATATTCTCCTCCTCCTCCTCTCTGAAAAAGAGTTTTTTGGCAACTATTTTTTCATTATTTAGGAAAGAAATTGGTAAAATAAGAGTAAAATATAAATGATGTTTTTCTTTAGATTTTCTTAGGACTTATTTCATTTAAATAAAAAACGCAGAAAACATCTTGAAATTCTAAAGAACAAATACTACTAATTAAATCATATTTTAAGAAGAAATAATGACACTCTAATTATGTTATATTTGAAATTAGAATGCAATTGAATTGATTGAATTAATCCATGCAGGCTGTTCTGCTATGGAATAGGAATCCATTTGCTTCAATCCGAAGACCCGGAGAATTTGCCTAAGAAAAATGAAATCAATCCCAAAGACAATCACATCTCGTTCCAGGTATTCCTGCATTTATAAATACGGACGATATTCTTCATTTGGAGTGAGTCCATTCCCAAGTAAATAGCCAATTAAGTTTTACCCTTTGCTTTAAAAGTACTAATTTCAGAAACATAACTAAAATATACGGAGTACTATGTACTTGACACACAAATTAAACAAAATATATCACTTTTCTTGCATGAACGTACACATGAGACCATTCACGGGTCAATTGCATAAATAGTACAATTATATTGTTTGTTTTGGTATCTTAACTTTTAAATCAAATGTTTTAATTGACAATATTATTCAAATTTATGGGCAAGAAGTCCTACCGAATGAACAAAATTCCATGTGTAGAGTCCACTCTACAACGATGACACTTACAAAATTAAGGTGAAATAGATTTTACGCACAAAATTTCGGTCCCACATATCATCTTTTGGTCGGAAATTTGAATAATCTTGTCAATTGAAACATTTATGTATAGTTATGGTATTGATTTCATTAATTTAAAAGCTAAAGTACCAAAACGAAGTTATATATTCATGAACTACTCGAGAATTTCTATTGAACCGGAATTACTTACACTACAAAAAAACCACGGGATTGGCGGGGATTTTTGAAGGGATTTGGCAGGGATTTTGGCAGGGAGATGCCAAATATGATTCTTTTCCTGAAAAATATGCGTCTTTTATTAAAATAATTATCAACGTAACTACTTTTATTATTATATTAACATTCAATGAGTCATATTTTTTCTATAATAAAAATATTCCTTGCGTATATGATTCATATATGCTCCTATTTAAAATATTTAAAGTTTCTTAAAACTAGAAAAGTGAACAAATAACCAAAAACCCACCGTAAAAAACATAAAAAATACAGAGCCAATTAAATAAAAATGGATAAATAGAAAAGAGTTACTGAAGGAGTAAAGGGACTCTAATAATGCAATCGTTTCATCTATCCTGCTTAGGGGTGTGCACCGGTCTAAAACCGGACCGGACTGGACCGGAACCGGTTAGGACCGGAACCAGAATCATCATTTTCTATGGACCGAAGACCGGACCGGAATCTAACCGGTCTGGATTGGTCCGGACCTGAATTTTCCGGTCCGGTCTGGTTTTGACCCTAATTAACCCGGTTTTAGAAAAGCCATATTATCTTAGAGTGATCTTAACCAACCCCAAATTTTTTAGGAATACGACTTGGATGTTGTTGTTGTTTCAAATTAAACTATAATTTTATGTGCGGATATGCTAAATATGCTAAATAATTTATAATTGTTTAGCTCATTTATTAGTTTTGGAATATAGTCATCAAAACTATTCAATAGTAACAATTAGTTTCCCACAATAATTAAAACTACAATCTTTTGTGTATATTAAAATGGAAAAATGTATTGTAGAGTAATAAAAACTAAATTACATCCAAAAGCAATTTGGAAAAATCAAACAAATATAAACTACGGTCATAGTAGTGCACACTTGCACATAAATAAACAAATCAAAAACAACTTAGGAACAATTTAGACACCAAATACACACTCCGTATATATTCTTTTTATATAAAAAAAAGACAAAAGTAAGCCATAATCATAATGACTAATGATACAGAATGAAGTATACTAGTATATTTTACGGAACAATAGTTTACCGGTCCATTCCGGTCGGGACCTGTTTTTTCCGGATTTGACCCGGACCAGACCGGAACCCGGAATTTTGAAAAACTAAGGATCGAAACTCGGACCGGTTAATACCGGTCCGGTCCGGTTTGGATTCCTGCTATCCAGATATTGCTCATTTACAATTTGCTTTTCATAAATATTCGATCTTAGAGAAATAACAAAAACCTTATAATGCATGCGTATACTTGAGATAAACTGTGATATTTGAGGTTGATGTCGAGGATGTAGGTTAATGGTAGGTGGGAATACGTGAAGCTCAAATCCTCGTAACTATCGTAAGCGCTAGATGGAGCGGCTTCGGTTCCTCTCCATTTTTTTTTCTCCATTTTCCCTTCATTTTCTTTTTACTTCCTATCTATTTCTATCTTTTTTTCTATCCTATTCACCAATATACCTATACCCCAGCCTTCATTTTCTCTTCTATATCTCTCTCATAATGGAACTCTCCGGGGAGTTATGCTTAAAGTCAATTTATTTCTCCTATTTTTTTTGTAAAAGATATTTTTGCGTTTATGTGGTTTACAAAGCTACCTAATTTGTTTGTCATTTTCTTTTTTTAAGACAATCAATTTTAGCTCAAACTCTATATTTTGTCCACTAAAATCGAAATCTGAGATAATGATACAATTAGTAAGAATAATTGAATTATGTAATTCTTATTGAATGGTAAGGCGTGAATAAAGTATTCAAAATATTACATGAATGACCAAATATGATACAAGATCAATTTAACAAGGCAAAATTAAAAAGGAAAACTAAGAATAGGGTTGGACTCGGGTCGCGCCACCCGGCCCGAGGACCAACCCGACCCGCTACTGTGCGGGACCGGGACCGGCCCGATTCTCGGGTCTGGGTCCGGGTCGGGCCTAGGCCCGGTGGGTAGTGCGGGTCCGGGCTCGGGTCTCACTTTTGGCGAACCGGCCCGGCCGGTTCGGTCTCGGGTCCGGGCCAAATTGATTTTTTTTTTCATTTTTTGGGGTTCCACCCGGGTTAGGGTTGATGGTTTGAGGGGGTTTGGGAGGGTGGGGGGGTGAGGGGGGGTTAGGAAAGCAAAACAAAAACCAATGGTGGACCCGGTGGCTACCCGGGCCGGTCCCGGGTCCACCATTCCTGAACCGCTGGCCCGCCCGAGCCTAGGCCCGACCCGGACCCGACCCGGACCCGAGTCCACCCCTAACTAAGAATAGATCCTTCGAAGGAGGAAGTGATTCTTTTAACTACGAAATGTGTTCAATACGGAGTATTAAATATACGGAGTACACTTACTTATTATTGTGTTTCAAATAGAATGAATAGTGGCCAATTCAAGTACCTTATCACCGTAACACTCTCAAGTAGGAGATCATTGGTTCGAATCACATATCAGTTTAAAGATGTTAACCTTAACATAGAACATATGTTATAATATTTTAAAAAGTTTTGCCAAAATAAAAAATAAAATGAATAGTGATTAGACCGATTATGATTTATGAATAGGGGTAATATATCAACCATGTTTGGTATAGTGTACTCTCTTTGATCACATAAATACCACATATGCCTTTGATAGAAACTTCACATATATATTAGTCTTTCTGTTGAGAGACATTAATTTATATGCAGATTATCAAACTAATCTTAGTACCAGCTAAAATTATGGGTGTCAAAGCTAAAATTTAACCACAGATAGAAGGTAAAATTGGATTTTGATACCTTTAACTTTTAAATGAAATAAAAGGTGTCAAAACTACATCCATATCATCACTCCACGGTAGACTGGCCATATTGAATTTGACCACGATTTAAACATTTATTTACAGTGATATTGTATCGTACAACATCATTTTAATGGTGCTAATAATTACATTGGTTATATTGGGTCAGTGTGAGAACATGGACGGAGTGGAGAAGAAGTTGAAAGAGATGGAAATCAAGTACGTGAGGCAAAGGGTGGAAGAAGGAGGGATCTACGTGGACCAGCTGTTCTTCCACGACCCCGACGGCTTCATGATCGAGATCTGCAACTGCGACAACTTGCCGGTGGTTCCGCTCGCCGGCGAGGTCGCCAGGTCATGTTCCCGTCACAATATTCCGATCATGCAGTCCCATAAGCACATTCATGTCTAGTTCGATCAAGTCCGCCGCCGTACGTTACGTTCTAATAATAATAATATTATTGTTACAATAATTACACATCCAAGCTAAGCAATTAGTTAATTACTGAGCTAAGCTCGATCGGCTCTCTCGATCTTGTGTTTTGTTTGGCTCGATAATCATCATTAAGCTAATTAATGAAGTTGCGAGTCGATGTTACGTAGTATACGAAGTATTTGTTTGTTTTGTTTTGTTTGTTTGTTGTATTCCTTCCTATGTACGAAGTATGATAATTAGCTGTATGTATGTGTTTCTATATATGTCGGTCGTCATTTTGGCAGCTTGTAAGGACGGTGTTACTTAGGCAGGCAGACATTTCCACATCAGTTACTTGGCTTCTTTAAAAAAAGGATGACACCCACCCCTTAGGACCCCCCAACCCCGACGGTATGTTGGGAGGATGTAAATTGGACTATAATCCCAATCTGACAGGTAGAGAGTGAGGCTCTGTTCTCGGTACTTGCAGAGGCTCTATGCATTTTTAGCATAGTAACTCTTCATCACAGTTACCGGAATTTGAACCCGGAATCTAACCCTTGTAGCACTCCTTTGTTACCGGTTACTCACCGATTTAGCTTCTTTTATTGCGTACGTAATAGTACATATATATTCCTATTATGTCTTGTCAATTAAATGTACCATGCTCCACATTTCATTTATAGTTGCCAACAACATGTACCTAACTCAAGATGTAGATAGGATGTGTCATTAGGGGCAAGTTTCACGTTCAAATACTGACAACTTACGATTAAAGTTTAATTTACATCTTTTGGCACCATCTGATTAAATTCTAATTTACATCTTCCTACTTAATTATCCGGCACAGAGAAGCCCGTGTAATCCTTTTGATAACATCTTCTATCTCTTTAACTTTAAAAAACCGTTCAATTTTGAAAAAAAATTGCACATCTGAACATACTCCGTATTTTATTAATTAGTAAAGAAAAGACTATATGAAATATGTTAAATTGGTGAAGTTTAATACGGAGTATCTAGTAAATAATTAATTGACAAAATTAATAAGAAACACTGTCACAAATATTACTTATGTACTTTAGATTGACAAAAATATGATCATTTTTCCAATGGACAGAAAAGTGACAAACATCCGGCCCGCCCTCTTTCTTCGCACACAACCCAGTCTGTCTCTTCCCATCTGGCGCTCTTCTTCGCACTGCATGCATCAAACGCATCTGCGAAAATTAAACCTTCCAGTGCCACACTCTTTCCCAGTCCGTCTCTTTCCCATCCGACACTCTTTCCAACGAACACGGACAGAGAGGCTAGCCATCGATCTCCATCACAGAACACCTTCCAACGCCGCAACCAGCTCTGTCACCGCCTGTATCTCTCCTTCTCCTTTCGTTTTGTACACGAATTCTCATCACCGACTTCAATGGAGCTCGTCATCGTTGAAGATCTCGTCAGTCGGCGACGTCAAGCTTCTGATCTCCACGGCGATGATGGGCTTCATCGATCTCGTCCTGATTTGGTGTTTGGGGCTACTGGATTTGGGCGATTCATAGAGGGGCTGGACTACTGCGAGTCACAGGGTTGGGTATCGCTATAGTTAGGTGGCGGCGGGCGCTGGACAGCGCTAGGGCAGGGGTGCTGGGGTGCTACCGTGCTAGGGCAGGGGTGTTGGGTCGCTGGGACAGGTAGGCTGGGATGGGGCTGGCACTTTGGCAGGGGTGATGAGGCGCTGCGACAGGTGGGCAGGGGCTGGGAGAGCACGGGCTGGGGTTGGGGCAAGGGGCGCAGGGCAGGGGTGGGGTGGGGGCGCAGGGGAGGGGCTGGTGATGGGATTGGGATTGTAGGCGGTCTCACCCATAGCGGCAGTGTCGGCAACGGTTGGATTGTAGGCGGTCTCACCCCATATCCACCAGCCCAACCCCCTTCCCATCCAGAGCCCCCCCCTCCAACCTCCGCAACCGCCGCATCGCCGCCGCCAGGCAACCTCCATCACACGGTGCAAATCGAAATATTCATCTAAGAAGCCCGAGTCACGCGGTGCCGTGATTCCAAACCCTAGCCGTCGCCAATTGCGATTAACAGCGATTGCGACCTCTGAAGATGAATCGTGGTGTCGGCTCTGAGAGATGTTCCCGGTGGAGCATAAATCGCTATCGAAGCCATCTCTGTTGGAGCTAAGCCGTCATTTGTTTTCTTCTAAGAATGGAAGCCAACGGGTCACGCACAAGGACTGTGGCGCAGGTGTGAGAGAAGATCGAGAAGGACATTCATTTTGGGTGTAATCTCAAACAATAGACAATACATAGACATTAAGTAGTCAGTAAACAGACAATAATTTCGAATAATAACTCAATAGCAGGCATTCAGGCAATACATAGACAGTAAAGGTAAAATTGGAAATTTAAAATCAGGTTTTCAAAAATAGAACTACATAGCTCTTACGGAAGGAAGAAACATACGCATGTACTATTTTTATAAAATTGCTTTGATTCAGTCCTATATGCATCAATTTTCTCGCATACTAAAAGGGGCAAACCTCACCATCCGGCGTCATGATTGTTACGGAGTACAATTTCTACTGACGATTCTTGCAGGATCGGACTTCTAATTTAGGACTTCTAATTTTAGAAGTTCTAAGTTATAAGTTTTACTAATTTAGGACTTCTAATTTCAGAGCAAATAACTTATTATGAGTGATTGTTGTTCTTTTCGTTGGAAAATGCTAATTTGCCAAAAAATCAAACTAGATTGGTAGATGAGGATGTTTTTTGAGCAATGATGGTGAATGAGGACGTTGTGCACTTATTATTAAGAAGAGTGAACTTACTTGTGATAAAGTAAGGAGATTTAGAATCACACAAATATTGTTAAATTTATAGTGGGACGATGTTTGTGAGACAGAGGAAAACATGAAAATAGGACAATTTTAATGGGATGACAATTCTATGACACATTATTCATCTGGAAGAAAAGAGATGTTTAAAATAATTCTTTTAGTAATAAATTAATGAGGAAAGAGTTGGGATATGATGGATAATTGATACCCATATTGTATAAACTAGAAAGATTGAATACGAAAAAAGGAGAAGAAGAAGTATTGTGTATGAATATGAATTGTGTGTGTTCTTTACAAGCCTCCTATAAGGAGTATATATAGGGAAATCCGGGTCTGGGCCTCTAATATGGGTCCGACAGACCCGGTTACGTAAATGGACTAACAGTTTAAAAAGCTAATCTAGTACACCCGAATAATAATAATGTACAATAATATAAATGCTATCTAATGAGCATACGTGGGCCGTTGTCCGGGCCGAATAGTCGGAAGGTCGGGGGTCTGGGTCCATATACTCCATCAGGAATCTCCCACTCCCTGAGCCGAGAGTACTCGAGGTGAAAGGGAGTAGTCCATAATTGTATCTGCAACGTTATTCTGTCTTTGATTTATTCCTCTTCGGTCGGGGGACCACCACCCTTGTCCATGATGGGGAGGTGCCTCGTTAAAAACCTTTACTAGAAAAAAACTAGTGGGAAAAAATCCTAATAAAGGGAAAAAGATTAAACCTAGCACCCTCCAACATGAAACAAGGAAGGTAAGATCCCTCCGACATAATCAATTTTGTCTAGCTCAACTCCTCTTCATCCGACTCAGATTTCATTCATGCGCAGGCGTGATATTTTTTGCTCATCCAGAAACTCTAGCACCTCAGTCTCCCAGTCCCCCACTCCTTGAGGCGGGTGGAGACGAGGTGAAAATGAGTAAAGTCATCTTCGTACCTACACATTTAACATACATAATTTTTTTTCTTGGGGTTTATGTTTCCGATCGGGCGTTCGTCACTTTAAAAAAGTGGAAATGTGAATTGCTAATGTAATGATAAAATACTTAGTAGAGTGGATGTGTGAGCCATTCGTACGCAACGATCGCCACTATTGGAATGACTAAGACCGCTCTTCATGCCCGACTTGGTCGGGGCTTTAAATCCTAGTGATGGTCTCAAGTCACAGTCTACTAGGCATTTGAACATAATTGTGTGATAGTTTGACATTCGCTCGACAAAAAGAAATGATTTCAATAAATATAAATAATATGAAAAATTAAAGAGTAATCTTTTGATGGGCTAAAATATATTGGACTGCTTAGCCACTTAGCTCTTATTTGCACCGGAATAATTGATGGGCTTCACTGAAATAAACGGGAGCATGTTGATTCCCTTGGGCCCAATCCTAGTTGGTAAAATCTGGTTGGCAGACCTTAGAACAGTCTAGCCTATACTCATTCCCGCAGCTTGCGTTAGGTGAAAACGGAGGCAGCTCTTCAGCCCTGTCCTCTCGTTTGGCAAGTGGGCAGAACCTTCAGCTCCGTATGCGGCCAAGATCCCAAGCAGAAACATACGGCCATTGTTGTAACCCCCCTCGTTTAGGAAACTCTGCGGCATCTACGGAGGAGTGCGCCATCCAGCCTCCCCTCACTGCTTGCTGGTTAGGCTCTCTGTTGTTGGAGAGGGGAGCAGAGAGTCGAAGGCACCAGATACCGTTGTTGCTGCTTGGGTCGCGAGAAAAGCTCGGAAGCTCTCAAGCTGGCGGCGCTGCAATCGAGGCGGAGAACCGAACCGCGGGCTGGCAAGTTGGTGGAGTCTGTTCTAGCAGCCGCCTGGTGATTCTATGACCGGTGACCGCGAACCGCCGTCCAACGAAGTCGGCGGTTGACGACAACTAAATCCAGAAACCGGCTGCGAGATTTGGAAACGGGCGGTGAGAGTCGGAGCACTAGTGTATGGCAACAAGGGCTTGGATCTGGAATTTCCAGATTGCTCCATTTTTCTGTTTTCTTGAATTTTTCGAGAACATTTCCTTGTTGATTCTTTGTGATATGGTTGAATTTTTGGGAGGTTTTCTCACTTGATTGTGTTCAAACCTCTCAACGAGAGCACCATTTGATGGATAATTGATACCCATATGGTATAAACTAGAAAGATTGAACAAGAAAGAAGGAGAAGAAGTATTGTGTATGAATATGAATTGTGTGTGTTCTTTACAAGCCTCCTATAAGGAGTATATATAGGGAAATCCGGGTCTGTGCCTCTAATATGGGCCCGACAGACCCGATTACATAAATGGACTAATAGTACAAAAAGCTAATCTAGTACACCTGAATAATAATAATGTACAATAATAATAATGCTATCTACTGAGCGTACATGGGGCGTTGTCCGGGCCCAATAGTCGGCAGCCCGGGGGCCTGGGTCCATATACTCAATCATGATATTTTTACTTGTAATAAAAGTTGTTGGTCTTGTATGGTATGATATGATCTGGTCTCGTAAATGTCAGATCTTTTTGTATTTTATAACTATGAAAGTGTGATCTATTACAATCTGGTCTGTTTAAAGTTGATTTGATGTGGTATGGTCTGGGAGTGAAAACATACCAAGTAAAAACATATTACCTCCGTCCCAAAAAGAGATGCAAATTTGACTTTTCTTAGTCAAACAGTCTCATTTTGTTCACTTAATTTGGATATCAAATTTTAATTATGTTCTAATTTGAAGTTTACAACTTTGAAGATATTTTAATGTAGTTTATGAATATGTAAATTTTAATTATTAAAAATTGAATTAATTATCCATATGGAGGGTTGACTTTTATTATTGGTTGACAAAAAAATGTTGACTTTGCAAAACAAATTGGGACGGAGAGAGTACTAAAATTACCACTATAGTATCTAACTTGATATATGGATAGAAATATTCATGTGCTAAAACAAACTTTAATGATATGTAGCTATGTGTTGGATGTGTTAGG